ATCTATCTATCTATCTATCTATCTATCTATCTATCTATCTATCTATCCATCCATCCATCCATCCATCCATCCATCCATCCATCCACTCTATCTACTCATTCTATCTATCTATCTATCTATCTATCTATCTATCTATCTATCTATCTATCTATCTATCTACCTACCTACCTACCTACCTACCTACCTACCTACACTATCTACACTATCTACCTACTCTATCTATCTATCTACTCTATCTATCTCCATGCATTCACCCACCCACCTATCTTCTACCTACCTTCCTATTTATGTAGTTTACATAGCTGCCTCTTGCAAACGTGAGTCTTGGGCAATTTACAGTACGACAATTAAAAACAGGTCTAAAGTAATAATTAAAAATAACCTAGCATCAAGGTAAATGAAAGAGAATGGACCAATATCCTATACCTAATACCACCACCATCCAAGGCTCACTATTTCCATGGGATCTCCAAGCCTGCTGGGAAATCCATTGGTTTGAGAGAGGCCAATAGGATCTTTTTAAAATACTTATAAAATACAAATTACTTTTTTTTAAGCCTCTGATTGATATTTTCACTTTTTAGGTAGTTGCAAGGCATGAGGACTTGCTGGCACAAGCAACTGGCATAGAATCTTTGGAAGGTAAGCAACTTTCATTTGTTATAAAATTTACTGAGCCCCTATAAATGGGCTTAAATGTAGGCCTTCTAATAAGGGTGCCTCAGACTTACATTCTAAATCATTCTTTCTCAACCTTATGAACTTTAAACTGTATGGATTTCAACTCCCAGAATTCCTCAGCCGGCCGTTGTAACTTTCTTTGAACTAAATGAACTAAATGAATTGTAAGTCTGTTCTCTGTTTTTTGGCCCCTTTCCAACTACCTGTTCAACCTGTTGTACTTATTTATATTGCCAGCAGGTGGCACCGTTCTTAACCGATTCCCTGCACATAACTTTTCTGCTGGTCTGGAAATATTTTGTTGTTCTATATAAGGAAAACAATAGAGAATCAATAATATGCACTTGCTGTTGAAAATGTACACTGAGAGCCTATGAACCAGAGACAAATTTCTTGCGTGTCCAATCACACTTGGCCAATAAAGAATTCTATTCTATTCTATTCTATCCCATCCCATCCTTTCCCTTTCCCTTCCCTTCTATTCCTTTTTATCCCATCCCATCCCTTCCCTTCTATTCTTTTCTATTCTATTCCTTTCTGTCTTATCCCATCCCATCCCTCTTCTCTTCCCTTCCCTTCCTTTTTATCCCATCCTATCCCTTCCCTTCCCTTTCCTTCTATTCCTTTTTATTCTATTCCTTTCTATCCTATCCCATCCTTTCCCTTCCCTTCCCTTCTATTCCTTTTCATCCCTTCCCTTTATTTCCATTCCATTCCATACTATTCCATACTATTCCTTTCTATTCTATTCCTTTTTATCCCATCGCATCCCATCCCTTCCCTTTCATTCCATTCCATTCTATTCCTTTCTATCCCATCCTATCCTATCCCATCCCTTCCCTTCCCTTTTCATCCCATCCCTTCCCTTTCTATTCTATTCTATTCTATTCTATTCTATTCTATTCTATTCTATTCTATCCCATCCTTTCCCTTCCCTTCCCTTCCCTTCTATTCGTTTTCATCCCATCCCTTCCCTTTTTTTCCATTCCATTCCATACTATTCCTTTCTATTCTACTCCTTTTTATCCCATTGCATCCCATCCCTTCCCTTTCTTTCCATTCTATTCTTTTCTATTCCTTTCTATCTTATCCCATCACTTCCCTCCCTTTCTATTCTATTCCTTTCTATCCCATCCCATTCCTCTTCCCTTCCCTTTCTTTCCATTCCATTTTATTCCTTTCTATTCTATTCCTTTCTATCCTATACTATCCCTTCCCTTCC